TGCATCGGGGTAGGTCCATGTGGCTTCTCCTCAGGGATGTCTTGCAGGAAGTGAGCCTTGCCAGCTAACGCAGGGAACTGTCTAAGGCAGCTGCACCCTGATCTGACCATCACAAAGCAAGAGACCCGGGAACTAGAAAGACTAGAAAGACGAGGCTTACCGAGCCATTTATCCTTCTGCCCTTCAATTAACGCCCCCATGTGTTTATCGGCCAGGTTGGCATAATAAATTAACTACCTCATCCAGACAGGTGTAACACTGAGAGAACCTGTCCACAGCTGCCCACTGCTCAGCGACACGTTTAATCTCAGCATGTGTGAACCTAGCGTCTCCCCTAGTGGTGGTGCCTCGTGACTTATTCTCCTATACGAAAGGCCTTCAGAAAGATGGTAGGAAAATGGAATTAAGAGATAGGGACTTCTTCCTTGAATTTTAAAAAGTCTCTCGTGTACAGTGTGCTAAGCACAGATCCAGAAGAGAAAGAGATGCCCTGGGGGCACTGTGGTTAAGCTCTGGGCAGCGTTAGAACTGACCCGCTGTACCACAGAGAAGGCTGTACTGTCAGTTGCCACAGCTTCCACAACAATGGCAGCCCCAGGAGCCCTGTGGGCCAGTTCCCTGCCCTCCAGCGGGGCTAAGTCAGAAGTGACTGGTGTGGCTTTGGGCTTAGTGAGAAGCACAAGCCAAGCCCGGGCCGCAGTGAGTGCTTGTCACTCTTGGCGTGCACACTGGAGCCTATAAATGGCACAGTGGTGTAGGAGATATGGAGCCATCAGGGATGGGTGGATGGATGTGCAGTGTTTATAGAAAAGTGGGATTCTGGCTTCTCTTGAAAACTGGCACTGAGTCACAGGGACCCCGTTAATCACTCAAGGCTCAGTGACCCTGGCCCTCCTGTGCCCCGGCCTGCGGCACCCTCCGCGTTGGGCCTGGTGCCCGCTGTTGCTGGTCATCCGAATGCATTTCTGGTGAGGCTCGTGGCACTTCCTGGTGACCACTCACATGCCTCTGGCCTGCCCCCTCCCGCCCCAGCAAGAGCAGAACATCAAGCCCCAGTTCTTCGCCTTCCGCTGGCTGACCCTGCTGCTGTCCCAGGAGTTCCTCTTGCCGGATGTCATCCGCATCTGGGACTCGCTCTTCGCTGATGACAGCCGCTTCGACTTCCTCCTCCTCGTCTGCTGCTCCATGCTCACGTGAGTGTCACCCTGGTCGGCGCCTGCTCAGTGGGCCCTCCTTGGGAAGGACCAGAGGGGAGGCTCCTCAGTGCCCTGCAGGGTGGGCAGGGAGATCAGACGCCCTGCGGGCAGTGGGCCAGGCTGGGCCTGCACTCAGAGCAGCCCAGGGTTCCAGTGCGTCTACTGTTTGTTTTTCCCAGACTGATCCGGGAGCAGTTGCTGGAAGGGGACTTTACCGTCAATATGCGGCTCCTACAGGTAATGGGGGTGAGGGTCAAGTTCTAGCTCTCCCGTGAAGCCAGTGCTTAGCAAGCACCCAGGCCACACCTGATGCTGTGTCAGGCTGGGGCGGGGTTAGGAGTCAGACCCCTGAGGCCGCTCTGGGTGTGAGTCCTAGTTCTGTCAGTGACGCTGAGTTTTGAGTGACTTTGAGTGAATCTGAATTGGCCTCTCTACACCAGGTGTTGTACTGCAGTTAACGGTAGTGGGGACCCAGGAGGCGCTCGGCCTGTGATTGCTCCCCGCAGCAGTGATGCTTGGAGCTGGAGGAGGAGGGACTTGGGGAGAAGGGTGTGGGTCATAGAGGCTGAGAACATGGGCTCAAGGACCTGACAACTCTGGGTTCCGGTCTTCGTTCTGCCGAGCGAGTCATGTGACCTGAGACAAGCCACAACCCGGGGACCCATGTCCTCATCAGCACCTGACCTCAGCCTGCTATTCCTCAGTGAGGGTGAGGTTAGCTCTGCACCAGGGGCCCATCGCAGGGACTCCCTCATCTGTCCGCTGAGATGGTTCCGTGAACCACTGTGTCCGCAGGGCCTGGCATGGCACTAGGCTCATTCTGAATGAGCTCGGGACCCGAGGACAGAGTGCAGAGAGATGAGGCAAAGTGGCGTGATCTTAGAGAGCCCCTGTGGGACCCGCTAGGTTAGCGCTTCTCAAAGTATGGGTCGAGACCCCTTTGGGGGGTCGAACGACCCTTTCACAGGGTTTGCCTGATTCATAACGTAGCAAAATTACAGTTAGGAAGTAACTATTTTATGGTTGGGGTCACCACACCGTGAGGAACTGTATGAAGGGGGCGCGGCATTAGGAAGGTTGAGAACCACTGCTCTAAGGGGTCCAGGTGGGTGGCATTAGTCACACACAGGGCTTTAGGCAGGATGCCGGCTGCCTAATGTCCTATGGCTTCTGGCTCCGAGGCCGAAGGGGCAGGGCCAGGGGGTGGCAGAAATGACCATGGGTGAACTGACTTTAGAGGCTTATTGCTGGCATTCCCTGTGCCCAGGATTACCCGATCACAGATGTCTGCCAGATTCTACAGAAAGCCAAGGAACTCCAAGACTCAAAGTAGTAGGCGGCAAGAAATCCAGACTGGGGAGAGAAGCCACCAACCCCTGGCTTCTGGGACACACAGAAGTCTGTGGAGTCCCTGACCGGAGGGGACACTGCAGAATCAGCCCCGCACCAGACTTCCTCGCCCTGGCTACTCTGTCCTAGGTCACTCCAGCCGGGGCTCACTGTGTGCTCCTGCCCTCGTCGCCGAGCTGTGAGCACCCCTTCAGCCCTGGGACCCTCTGCCAGGGCTGCTCAGCAGGGCTGGCGCTCCAAGGACTGGGACAGGGTGGGCGGCTGGGAGCCCGGCACGTGTCCATTCCTGTCTCTGCTCTGCTGCCCTCTTCCTCTGGTCCTGCTTCTGGACTCCAGTGGGGGGCAGGCACTGGGCACATGGGCCAAAGACCACTTCTTCTGGGGTCGGTGCTGGGGCTTCTCCACCGGGACAGTGACCCTGTGCAGTGGTTGAGAGGCAGCCATCACTCCTGCCTGTCTCGCTGCGCGCACTCATGTGCGTGCATGTGTGTGTGTGTGTGTCCACATGTGTGCGTTTCCACCCCTGGGCCCCTGGGTGTCTCTGCTTCTCAGTCTGTGTGTTAGGGGGGCGTCTGTGCCCCTCTTCATTTGTGCCGCTTCTTCTCTGCCCCCACCTCTCCGCCCTCCGCCACTTCGCCTGGCGTGGGGCTTCTTCTCCCCAGTGCTCTCCTGCCCTTGTTTCTTGGGGTGCCTTATCCCTGTCTTTCTCTCCCGCCCCCTCCATTCCCACAAACCGGGGAGACAGAATGAGGATTCTGGCTCGGCAGAGCTCTGGACATCATCCTTGGCCTTTGTAGCCTGTCCCAAGCCCCAGGCCTAGGCTCCTTGGTCCCGGAGAAGGGGTGGAAGTCGATGGTGCCTCACTAGAAGGTCACGCAACCCATGCCCTGTATGCGCGCGCGCGCGCGCACACACACACACACACACACACACACACACACACACACACACACACACCAGACAAAAACTTGGAAACCAAAGGCCCTTCCCACCCAGGCATTCTGTGTTCCATGGGGACTCTGCTCCCCGGGGGTTGGGTCCAAGTGCTTCCAAAAACTGTCATTCCCTGGGTTCCCAGGTTTCAGCCCCCTCATCCTTTATGGGTGAGCCCCACACAGGCTCAGTAGGCGGCCTTGTCAGTGCCAGAAGAGCCTATGTTGGCATTTTTGCTGCCCCTCCACCCCCAGCCAGGCAAAAGAAGGTGCTGGCACTCGGCTAGTCACCTGCTGGGGTTGCTCCCAGGTGCTGGAGCACATCTGTCAGTAGGAGCAGCCGATGCCCCCAGTGCTGGGCTGTGGGAGGGGCGAGGAGGGGAGGAAGCAAGTAGTGTGGGTCCTCAGCCTCTCCCCAGATTGGCCTGCAGAAGCCAGGGCTCGGGGAACTCTGGACCCCAAAGCTTTGACTTCAGCAGCCAGGACTCGTGTTAGCCACTCCGTTCTAGCTGTGGGGAAGCAGCAGCCCCCTCTAGCTGGCTCTCTTTCCGGGCCATACCTTGAACTCGGCCACACTTGCCTTTTTGTCTCCTTTTCTCCCAACACAGTATTGGAAGATTTTACTATTTATTCAGACTTATTTATTGCAGGTTGGCAGGTGCTTAGTTTGGGAATGGTGAGTGGGGCGTGACCTTTTGAAAGGAGTCACAAGGGCCTCCTGGCTTCCTGAAGTCAGCGGGTATCCATCCCCTCTCCATGCCCTGCCATCTCCCTGGTTTTCTAGCAGGGCCTGGTGGGGAGGAGGGTTCTAAAGCGGAGCAGAAGGGAAGACAGCTGGTGTCCTGGCCCGACTCCAGGGCTCTTGGGACAGGGTGCCCACTACCCACCAGCCTGGCCCAGCCTCCCAGGACTGGTCAGGTGGTGGTTTAGCATCAGCCTCATTATAGCCTCTGGCTTGGGCCGTGGCCTGTGACCCGACAGTTCGTACCCAGAACCTAGATGCATTCCCTCTTCCCTGGCCTCTGCCCTTCCACTTGGGGTCATACTGGTTGAGTCCCTGCATGTAATTCATCTCAGTAGCCCACCTGGTTCTAGCGTCCTCTCCTTGACTTGATGTGAAGATCAGGATCAAAGGGACCACGACCTGGTTGGCTGAGCGCCACTGTGGGATACTGCTGGGGCAGGTGCCGGTCCTCCTCCCCCAGGTTCTCAAGGAAGCCCCCACCCCAAAGAGCCAGAATGCCCCAGGCTTCCTGCTCGAGAAGCTGCCCTGTGGGCTGGGCTGTGTGAATTCAGTGGGCCTCACTCTGTCGGTCGTCAGAATGTTAGGCTGCTTTTGGTTTTGCATTTGTTTTGTTCCTTGAATCAATGCTGTTGATACATTGTCTTTAATAAATCATGAGTTCTTTGCTATGAGCCCTGGTGTTGAGAGGGGCGGTAGCCTCAGGGATGTCTGGGAGCAGGTGAGAGTGAGCAGGGGTGGAGTCATAATGCCCCAAGGAGTCCGAGAGAAGGGTCAGGAGGTCGTAAGAGCTAGTGCAGCCCCGCGGAAAAGCCCTCGCCCTCAACTGCATGTCTCTAGGAGCTTGTTGAAGCCCCCTTGAGTAGGGTGGCTACACAAGTTAGTTTTTTAGATCGGAACTTTTGATCGTTCAAAAAGATATCAAACACCCAGGATCCTACAAAGTCAATAACTTGATTCTTTAAGCAGATGTGGATTTTTAAAGATGCCCATCGTTTGTAAATGAGAACAGCTTATGGGATGATGGGACATTATATGTGTCAGAAAGCCCATCGGTTCATATGTTTGAAAGAGTTTGCTTATCCCAGCTCGTGAACACTTGTGTTTGAATTCTGTGTATTTCTGACCATATCCTCTGCGCATTGCTGTGTTGAGAGCTCTGCATAATTGTACAGGCTGGGCTGCTAACCACAAGGCCGGCAGTTAAAACCCATCGGTTCCCACCTGTCAGCTGTTCCCGTGAGAAAGATGAGGCTTTTTACTCCCATAAAGAGTTACGGTCTGCTAAGGCGAGCTCAGGGAGGACAGAAACCTCCCGTGGAGCAGAAGGGCAAAAGCTCGCTTGATCTTGATTTTCAGTACGAATACAGACCGTGAAAGCGGGGCCTCACGATCCAAAAAAAAAAAAGAGTTACGGTCTGTGGAATCCACAGGGCAGCCGGACCGTTTGGCCACGCGTGGGGATGTCCAGCTGGCAGTGAGTCCACACCCAGAGCTAAGCTGCTCTCTGTGCATCCCAGGTTAGGGGATCCCTGCCAGTATGGCGGAACTTTTGCCTTATTTTCTGATGTTAGGAGGATGAACTCTGGTGTTAGACAGCCCCGGAGTTTTCCTGCCCTGTTCCCGCCAAGGAGGAAGCCCTTGGGCTGCCCTTTTTAAGTCAAAGGTTGAGCAGGCCTGGCCATCGCCTGGGCTGGGAGCCCCGTTAGAGGAGGCGTGGCTGGCGGCGGCCAATCGTAGCCCGGGCGCGGCGCCTGCCTCCTCCAGCCTGCGTCTTAAAAGGGCTAGGCAAGGGCGCGGGGGCACTCCGCGGGCACCTGGCCGGCTGCCCTCGGTGTGAGTGCTGGCCCCCACGAGCGGCAGGCAGTGCCGCGCCCGGAGGGTTCTCAGCACCCCGCGCCTCACCCGCGTCTGTCCTTGAGGTGGGCCCCGCGGGCCGGCGCGGCCGC